GCAACGAAGTCGAAGGATTCATCAAAACTGCAGGAATTATAGTTGGGCTCTGTCCGGTCGACCGGCCTGGTCACAGCGATCGACTGCATCGTGCACAGACCCCAACTGTGTATCGGGACTGAGATCGGTTGACTGATGGTGGCACTGCGGTCGACCGAAAAACCCTGTAATCGATTTCCAGATTTCGTCGTTCTGACCGGTCGACCGCCTTGGGCACTGCGGTCGACCGCGTAGTGGATCCGGGCCTAGGTCTGTTTTCTGCTCCAGTTGGGATTTCTGTTTAGTATAAATAGAAACACGACTTTTCTAGGGAGAAAAACTCAGTTTGTAATCAGAAAAGAGATCAGGGAGGTTGTTCTTTGATCTAGAGAGATTGTGAGAGAGAGATTTGTAAAACTTTGATCTAGAGAGATTGTGAGAGAGAGATTTTGTAAATCTAATTGATTCTCATAATCTAGAGAAGGTATTTTCCTTCGCCCTAATTAAACTCTTGTGTTCTTCAGTTGTTTTCTTCTTTACCCACTCTTGATAATTCCGCGATCAAGAGTGCTCACATGGCGACTCGTATCAATACTACAGATCCGAAGTACTGTGCGTACAACAGGAGGATCCTTCATCCCACCAAGGCTTGCTTCGCTCTTAAGAAGAGCATCCAAACCTTGGTTTAAGCTGGCGTCATAACGTTAAACTAAGCCCAATGAGAGCGGCAAAACTCCAATAGGTATATGAGTCTAAATTGTTTGCTTTCTTTCACGGGAAGTTCCTGGAGAGTGCTATGCTTGGTATTCTTAAGGATAACCCGGTCATCCAACTAAGCACAATGTTAGACGCGGTTTTGCAAGGGAAGCTAGGGTGGATGATTCTTGTAACGGGAAGTTCTCGGAAGAATGCTACATGTAAATTTCTAAGGGATAACCCGATCATTATGAACAAAGTGATAAACGCTAAACCCCTACTGTGATTTATGAACACTCTTTTGCTAAGATAATATTCGATCACTTTGATGGATCAATCTTCCCTCACAAAACTCCCATTAGTGTTTGACGACTCACATTCTTCCATCACAAATTCCCCCACCGATCAGACTAATTGATGGTAGGACCACCAAAATTCCTTTCGGTTGAATCCACTCAAACTTCTAATGTGTCTGTACACTCAATATTCCTATGGTTAAAGTCTAGACATAGTACTTAGAATTTTAATATCCTGATCATTGACGATTGTCAAACCCCTCCGTGTTAAGTATTTATCACTTAACACCAAGAACCTCCTCTTAGACTTAGTTGGGGCTTAATTTCTTGATTGGCTCACCAATTACTTCTAAAAACTTTCAAAATGTAATAATCTATAAACTGCTGTTTCGTTGTTATGCGTGCAGAGAGAATACTTACAGCAAGGAAAAATCAAACAGTTTCGGCAAATTTTGGAGGAAGGTTCGGGTCCAGGTATTTGATTTTAAGTGTTTTTTCCTCTAAATTGCTAGAGAAAAAAGGATCATTTTAAGCGAAGAGATAACTGATGAGCATCGTGTTATTAAAATTTCTTTATGTTGTTTCTATTATCATCACTCATCCCAATAGTCGTGCATATGTTTTGCGTTATATGTTTAGATTTTGCATATATGTGGTACTACTTCCGGCATTATTTATGTTGCTAAAATCAACGAGCACTATGTGTTTATGATATTGTTCATGTTGCAGAAATCGATGAGTATTATGCTGATGTGAAGTACGAGCAGATTGCTATCCTAAATGCTTTGGGGGGCATATCATACTTATCTGGGGAATCTTGAGATGAAATGAGAAAATAATGAGAATTTTAAAATAGCAACTCAATATTACAATAGAGCATCAAGGATCGATGTTCATGAACCATCGACATGGATCGGTAAAGGTGAGTGTCTTGTAGAAAGAGCTTACATAGTAACAGGTTTTTTTAATCGATAACAATGTTTAAAATGCAATTCACTTGATGCATTCTTGTATTAATTCTTTATAGTATCACTGTTCATTCATTAACCTTTGTCCTTTTCCACACACCTCGCCACCCGAAACAGATATGCTTGTGTGATATGTAGTAATAGGTACCCTTGCCTCACATTTCAATATCACGGTAACAGTTTGAAGTTCACACTATTTACTTTCCTCTCTAATAGTTGCTTAATCCTTAAATAACAGTTTTCTTCCGCCCTTACTGGTGCACGCAATGCATGCATTACATGGTAAAGTTGTGCGCAAAATTCTTTTAATTCCTTAATAATCAATACTGATGTGAATGTATTTTTAGAAAATTATTGTCACATGACGTAAAGTATCTTACTATTAGAAAATATGGGGAGTGGGGGTAGTTATCAAGTAGTGGATGGTAGTTAGGATGTTGATCTTTCCAATTTTGTGCTTCTAATTAATTTTGGTGTGCAATAAATTGTTGAGGACATGTTGATTTTTTTGAGAATTTGACACACATGGGTGAACCGAAATTGCAGCTTTTCTTAAATAATAATAGTAATAGAATAATAGTAATAGATTTTCTTTGACTAAACATAGTTTGATTGGATAGACTCCAAGAAAAATTAAGATTATTTTCTAAAATTGTAGTTTAATAATATCAAATCTAATTGATGTTTAGTTTATCTCGTCAATCTATCAGATTCTTGTTATAATTATTTGGCTAAGCCTCGTGGTTAATATTTGACTATGTTTCTAGAAGAGAACAAGTGAAACATGTATAAAGGGCACTGGTTTTATCTTTTACTTTTATTTTGGAATTTCTAAACTAGTGGCTCCTGATTCAGTTTACATGTTTGGAGATATCATGTACATGAAATCAAAGACCAAATACCAAAGGCAAATTACTAGTTAGGAAATCATATTCTACATCCTGGATGTACTATCAGAAATTAGGTTATTATGAATAGCTCAATAATGTCTTCCATCTTTTCCATTTGGGCTTCCAATACCGATATTAAACATTTATCACGTGTATCAAACTCACTTATATAAAGAAAAATGATTGTAGTCTAACTGTTCAATAAGGACCGACTTTCCTTTCTTTTATCCTTATTTTTTCTGTAATCTATTGTGAGACATTAGTAGGAAATTGTTATATTATCAATGAGTTGCACTTGCTAATCAGTTATCCATCAACTTTACATATTTATTCAGGGTATCTTTTTGTGGCCAAAGGTGACCTCCAGCAACCTTCTGGTTTCTTTAAAATAGTTTTTGATGAAGATCCTGATAACATCCCTGCTCTTCTTGGTTAGGTGTGCTCATTCTACTAAGTCCTACTCTATGAGACATCTTTTATTTTTGCTCTTTGGGTTTATTTGTATCTTAAGTTTATAGTAACAATCTTTCTTTCTGCACTTTTTCTTAGATAAGGATAATTTTGGAGGTTTGTCTTCGCTTCCACGAGCTTAAATTGCATGAATTTTATGGTGATGTAGAATGGGGACTTCTATTTGGAAAGTCAATGTAGAATAAATGAAGAGAAAAGGAGGGGACAATAATTGTAGCAGCAAAAATCACTAATAGAAATAAAAGGAGAGAAATAGGCTGAGACTTTTAATATCTAGGATTTTAATTGTCAAGATAATTTATTTGTTCAGTTATAGTTGATTTAGGAATTTGTACAGCCTAATTGTTTAGAAAATCTTTTGTTTTATTGTGATACAAGCTCTATAATGCGAATTAAATTATCGGTGCTTGAGTTTCATAACTGTAAACTGATTTTTCTTGAATAAGAAGGAAAAAAATGTTTTCGAAACCTCTAATTTTGTTGAAATAGAAAGTAGCATTCTTTTAGTATCAGATTGATGCAATTTTGGGTGTGAAATACTAGTTATACAAAGTGTGAAACCCTAAAGGAAGTCCAAAAAGTGCTCCGTATCTTTCTTTTTTCTCCGGCTTTTCATCACAAATCTCAAATTTTAAATAGTGCGGAACCATCTTCTAGCTGTTTCTTTTATCTATGATACCAAATGATTGGAGATGGTTTCAGGTAGCATTTGAGATTTGTAAAGGAAACTAGAGGGCCAAGAAGAAAAGGATAAAGAGAAAATTTCACACTTAAAGGAAACTAGAGAGCCAAGAAAAAAAGGATAAAGAGAAAATTTCACACTTGTTTTGAGTTTTCACAACTCGTGAAACTATGATTTATACAAATGTTGTATCACAAAATTAAAATTTAGTAGAATAGTATGCCCTTCCCAAAAATGAATGTCTACTATTCAATGTTGAACAATTTTCTTTACATCTTTTTGTGATCTTCCAAATGAAAGTTGTTCTACATTAAATAGCTGACTTTCCTATGCATCCTTCCAGGATTCATGACAAGCCTTTCTCTTGACGATGATTTCCTTTACCAATAGTTCTTCACCTATTTAGATTTAAATTATGTCATATTTTGATTTAACTTTTTTCGATGTATTTGACACTTTGATGGAAAAAAGACTAGATGATAATATTAATCATTTTGTTCTTTTTCTGTTTTTATGATGAGGGACATCATTTAACTTTTATATGCCACATATAGCTGTCTTTGATACCTTCATTTAATTTATCACCTATTCTTTATTTTTCCTTTTCCCCTAATTTCTTTCAACATCTAAATGTATGGTGACTGGGATGATGATGTGATGAATTATGCTTGGCTAATATTGCATAACGAGTCTTATTGATGTAGTTTTACATTTCCCCCCTATGATTTACGTTGTGTAGTTAGATCCAGAAAGTGTTGAGGCTCTAGTTGCTCTCGGAATCATGGATTTGCAAACAAATGAAGGTAACATGAATGTGCAATGTTAAATTAAGGAGTGAATGATATCATATATCTAATGTTAGAGTGCATCTTCTCTCTTGATTTTGCTTCTTCTGAGGAGTTCGGCTCAACATATCTTGATCACCTTCGCATCGTTTTTTTGTAGCTTATGGAATTCGCAACGGAATGGAGAAAATGCAAAGGTCTTTGAAATATACCCTTATTGTTCAATGGTGCTAAATCATTTAGAAAATCACTTTTTCTTTACTGGATAGCATTTTTTGGTTGAACAGTTAACGGAGACTGCTCTAGCTACAAGCAACCATGGCTTGACAAAATCACATTCATAGTACAATTTGGCAAGGTCTTACCACAGCAAGGTTAAAAACATATTGAATGTTGAATATTGATTATGCATCTTCAGATGTGATATTATGTTATTTTCATTTTACTACTGATCGCCTTTACCATATCTATTACAAGTGTAGGGTGATTTCGAGAAAGCTAGCCGTTACTACATGGCGTCTGTCAAAGAAATTAATAGGCCACAAGACTTTGTGTTGCCATTTTATGGTATGTGTTATTAAGCCTATCCTCTGCTTCGTCATGCTTTCATGATTTTGAGAAAGCTCTGTTATGCATTGTTACCCTTACTATAGTGCTGTTACTTGATAATGAGGTTAAAGGTCTGTAGATTTGTGTTTTAGGGCAATCATCGAAATAGCTGGCACATCCTTGGAAACTACTTGCATTAAGCTTGCACATGTTAGAAGAACATGAATTATGCTGCTGATTTACCCTCTTATAGAAATCATTTAACATATGTAGGAATATCTCTGAGAATTTGTCAATTGCACACCACTATATTTCTAGCGAGCATACAGTGTGTGCATAATATCTCCGTAGTTCATGTATTTCATAGATAGCAGATGCCTTGATCTGTAGAAAGGCGTAGCTTTTATATAAGTATATACGAACGATTGAAAATATGGACTTTACACGTGCCTGTTAAAGAGTCAAAAACATTTTTTTAATTTATATTGAGGTCAGTTTTCTAATGGTTGTATGGCTGCATGTCATTTTCTTTTTCATCTAGCAGTCATGCTTGATTTGATGTTTTCCTATCCATTGATTATGTTAATTCTTGATGCACTGATCTCTGAGTAGGCTTGGGACAAGTCCAACTAAAACTAGGAGATTTTAGGAGTTCTCTTTCAAGCTTTGAAAAGGTGTTGGCGGTTTTCCTTGAAAATTGTGAGTGCATGAAGGTAAATATGACATGAAAAAAGATTGTTCTTAAAATTTGAATTTATTATTTTGTTTGGCTATTAATCTGATTGGTTTTTTCCTTTTAAAAGGCTGTTCGCCACATTTATGTTCAGCTTGGTCAAAATGAGAAGGCCCTGGAAATCTTCAGCAAGACTGCACGAATTGACCCACGAGATGCTCAGGTAAGCATTTTGTTTGGTAATAGAACTCCGCTTTATTTTTTAATCATCATGTTTTACTCTTTATCAAAATAAATGCCTGGGTAATTTAAGCACAGAGGTCAAGTCTCTGTTGCTTGCTAGACCACTTACTGCATTCTATTTGGTTCAGAAGCAATAATTCCACCTTATTTTTCTCTTGAAATTCTGTTTGTTGGAAAATTTGTAATAAGAAAACGATGAAAGAATCGTGTTTGATTTTATTCTCTCTAACTGTTTAGAAAAAGAATGTCTACAACTCTCTCAACTCTCGATTATAATTTGGATTTCCTGATTACAAAAGAGAAGAGGATTGATCTGAATCCTCCCTTTTGTTTAATTCTGGGTTCTTCACGGTGGCGATGAGATGCCTCCCTCTAATGCTTGCATCGAGTTTGCTTCTCGTTGACGATCCGAATATCTATACTCACTGGAATAACTGACTTGTGTGGTCGGTCTGATCAAGAACTCTTAATGAACTTTGTAGTTCAGGATCAGTAACAAACTCTGGTGAAGAAGAGTCGTTTGGACCGAAATAATTCGGTTAATAAACTAAGTATCGAATCTCGAGAGATCTTCAGTTGTTGAAGATTGCTGCCTTTTGATCCTCTCTCCAATCGGCCCCCTTTTTTCCTCCTTTAACTCTGTTGAGTTTGTTGACATTTTATAGGAAGATTAGGGGTTTAACTGACCCCTTAATCCGCTCCTATATGGGGGTTTAGTTGCCCCATTATTCGGGTGTGTCAACCCACTAAAACCACTCCCCAGATCGTGGGTGATCAGCGGTCTTCTCGTAACAGTATGGATTGTGTTTGAATGAGTCAGAAGCTTGGCTTGTGTTCTGGCATGGATTCTGTGTTTGAACGCAGCATCTGGAAGCGCGTCCTGCAGTGATATGAAGCTGCATTTGCAGCGTTGTGAAGGTGTGTTTTGCAGCGATGTGGAGCTGCGTTTGTAGCGTTGTAGAGCTACGTTCTGCAGCGGTATGGAGCTGCATTTGGTAGCAATATGAAGCTGCATCTGGTGGCGATTGGAGCTGCGTTTGGCAGCGGATTGAAGCTGCGTCTGGCGGCGATTGGAGCTGCGTTTGGTAGCAGTTTTGAGCTGCGTTTGGCAGCGGATTGGAGCTGCGTCTGGCCGTGATTAGAGCTGCGTTTGGCAGCGATTTGAGCTGCGTCTGGCAGCGGATAGAAGCTGCGTTGGCAGCTGGTAGATTAGAGCTGCGTCTCGGGGCGATTGGAGCTTTGTTTGGCAGCGGATTGGAGCTGTGTCTGGCGGCGATGGGAGCTGCGTTTGGCAGCGGATGAAGCTGCGTCTGGTGGTGATTGGAGCTGCGTTTGGCGGGATCATAATTACGAGATCGCTTGTAAGTTTCCCGTTTTCGAGGGCGGCGCATATGGAGAGGTCTATCAAGATACCCCAGGGCGGAATTCTTTCACCATACTCAGTAGAGGTGTCTTCTGGTGGCTCATAAATATTCGCCCTGGCTATCTTATCTTCCGACAAGGGAGGAAGTGCTTCATCGAGCTTCGTTACCACTGTCAATCTCTTCTTTCTCTTGTGATTCTGAGTAGAAGACCGAATCTGTATGAAAGTTTTCCACTCCTATGAAAGGGTATTTTTCCGCAATCAGGGTTCGAACTTCACCTCCCTCATTGGCATACTTCATAACTTGATGGAGAGTCGACGGGACAATGCGATTTGCATGAATCCATGGTCGTCCCAACAATAGATTGTAGGATGTGTCCGCATCTATGATATAACAAGTCACTTCGGACTTGAGGTCTCCAATCTGGCATCTGAGTTTGATCTTTCCCAGGGGCCGAGTGTCGTTAGCATTGAACCCGAAAATGGTAGTTTGAGTAGCGTTCAACCGGTGCATAGGAATCCCCAAGACTTACATGACTCTATAAGGCATGATGCTGAGTGTCGAACCTAGGTCAACCTGAACACAGCTGATTTCTGATGACCCAATGTATCCTGTGTAGTACAAGGGTCTGTCATGTTTATGTTTCACTTGCATATCCTCCTGAGTGAATGATATGCACGGTAGACTTCTTGCTGCTTGTGAGCATTGTATGCAAGGCTGATCTTCAGATGTTTTAGGAATCGGAGCGACTTGAGTGATAAAGCTCTCTGTATTCTTTAAGGCTTCGATGAGAGCTTCTTTAGTAGTTTTGGACAACCTCAGGAGTTCATATAAGGTAATCCTGGTCGGTATGTTGGCCAGCTGCACCATGACGTTGAATTGGACGGGAGCGCTCGACTCCCCAGGATCCTGGTGAAGATTTTTGTTGAACCAGAGCTCTTTTTGTTTCCCTTTATCGGTCGGCAAATTTGGTATAGAACCCCCAGCGTCTTGGGGCTGTTCTTCGACTTCTTGAGCATTCTGGCCATAGTCTCTTAAGTAAGCTTTTCCTGACCGAGTGCCAGGGTTGTCTCCTGGGTATTCCGCCAGGACGATTCTCACTTCTTCCGAGTCGGTGAGAGGTTTGAGATGATCATCATTATCATTCCTAGAGGGGCTAATCATGTTGGATGACTTAGCCTTGCCTCTTTTCTGCTTAGACGAGGTGCTTGTCCACTGTTGATCCCCAACCAGGTCAGGATGGACCCACATGATCTCTCCTTTTGAGATAGTGAGGGGTACCAACCCCCTGTCCTTCTGATTGTGTAAATCAGTGTTTTTCAAGTGCATTTCCCCTTTATGGATGGGAATGACGCCATCTGTAGCAGCTACAGGGAGGAAATCACCGAACTGGATTGCTATCAAGTTAGTGGATACAGTCTTCTGCTCTGGCTTCAGGGTGAGCACGTTAGCGTTCACCAAGTTTTGCAAGATGTCTTCGAAGACATAGCACTTCCGGGTAGGATGCCCGAGGAACCTGTGATAACGACAATACTTGGGGTCGTCCACCTTCCCTACTTCATCTGGTTTTCTAATCTCGGGGAGCTGCAAATTATTGTTCTTTCGAAGTAGTTGGAACAGAGTGTCCACATGCTCTTCTTTGAATGAGTATTGCTTAGGTGCTCTTGGTGGGTTTGGGGCCTTGCCTTGCTTCCCCGAGGGTGTGTGTGTGTCGGTATCGACAGCCAATGTCTCTTTGCCTTGCTTCGGGTGTGTGTGTGTCGGTATCGACAGCCAATGTCTCTTTTCCCTTGGAGCGTGGCGCATTGTTCTGGTTGGGTTGCTGTTGTGGCTTGGGTTAGAG